TTTGTTTGATTAACAATACAGTAGTATTAATGATTGGCCGGTGAGGTTATGTTGAAATTTATTGTGGGTACTTTGATTTAATAAGGGCGTAATTCTGCGGGGCGTATTACAATTTACCATCGAGGGGGTGGGGCGAAGCGATTGCAGCGAAAAATCGATTTGAAGAGGAGTACTTCTTCAATGGGAGTGGTAGAACGGATTGAGTATGATCCTAATCGCTCCTCTAGGCTTGCTTTAGTGAGATGGATTGAGGGGGTGCATCCAGCTAATCAAAGAAATGGCGATAAAGACTTTACTCCTCCGAAAAAGGTGATTGAACCTATCACAACAACGGTAGCTGGTCAGTTTCCGTTAGCGTGCCTGGCTCCTGGACTGTTACGCGGTAATGTAGGCTATAAGGAGGATGGGAGGAAAATAAGTAGTGTGAAGGATGTCTTTGTTTCTGCCTTTGGATCTACACGTGCAAAGGGAGAGTCTTTAACTAATATCCCACGAGCAGCTGTAGCCGGGGCAAAGCCAGCTGTCTTTTCTCGTAAGATGGGAGAAGCAGTTGGTGAAGGTGAGAAAGTGTTTTCAGTTTTTGATGTCCAAAGGTGGAGGAAAGACAGTAGTCTTTGGGATCATAAGCTCAAGCGTAAAGCAGCTGTACCTTGGTTGAGTTTTGTCAATGAGGAACCTGTGGGGCTTGCCAAAGCAGCTCAGAATGATAAGTCTTCTGGAAAGTCATCCAAGAATGTGCACATGGTTGATCGTGCACCACTCACATATATATTAGCAAGTGACAAACTGGAAGAAGGGAAGATTGTGATGAACTATGATTGGTCCACACGTCTTAACCGCAGCTGAAGTTTCCAGAATTTGTAAGTTCATCTTATGCTCAAGTACTTTGTTGAATTTTGTGGGAGTTTGTTTGCTCTTTTTTTTGTTTTGACTTTTAGTTGTTACTTCTCTATGATCTTTTTGCCCCCTACTCTGTAGCTTGAAGCTGTTTTTAATTGGGTTTCTTTGCTCATTGATGCGTTCAGTTGTTGCTTAGGGATTGTGAATTACTGAATTTGATGCTGGCATTGCACCATAGATAATATTGATTTTGTAGACATATTTTAGGAAGGATAGCCCAGTAATATTTCTCTAGATTCAGCTAGGTTTGAAATGAGTTGTGATAATTTTGTCTATCAATGAACTCCATCTAGTTGCAATTCTGTTTCTGTTTAGATTGTAAATTTCTTGGTTGCACACTTTTAATAAACTAATAACAGTATTTAGTTAGCTATTGTAGTTGCACTAGTAGGTAGCAATGTTTATCTAGCAGCTTAGCAAGATGAAATTTTTACTGGATTATCCTTAAATCTAGTGCCCAAAAGATATGGGGAATTTATATAGGTATAGAGAGTATTGTGCTAAATGCAATAATTATGTTTAAGTATTTTGTGTAGCAGTTAGCTCTATTGCCTCTTAAGGAAGTTCTCAACTTGGCCAGCATGAAGAGGGGTTGATGTTCGTAGCCTTATCCCTTGGGATATCATTTTTTACTGCATTTTATAGTGGCAACCCCAAAAATTGAGGAGCATATAACACCACTCTGACTGGTATTCTGATTCACTCCTGGAATCCTTTATTATTGTTAATGGCTCTCAGGAATTTTAGGGTGTTGATTAAAAACCTGCAAATACAAAATGTCGCCTTTGCCTTTAAACATGATCAAGGATGGAACAAGGCATGAATAAGATGGTTCCAAGCACTAAGTAGGACTCTCAAGGACCTTTGGGAACCCCAGGTATTACCTAGGTGCATAATCTTGCCGGGTGAAAAAATGATCTATGGAAGCCAAATTTGAAGGCTATAGTACACGAAATCTGAGTAATTTAGGAGATCTCGGGACCCGGTGTAAAAAATTCACAGAATAATATGGGATGCATCCTTAGGTCATATAACGTTGTGTAGGCCCATAGACTACCATTAGTTGGATACATAAAGGCCCCGAGGAAGCCTATAGTCAATATAAGAGGTGTGTACAAAAACAACCATACTTACTGTTTTAAGGCAAATAAGGGGTTTCCAACCACTTAAATGGCCTCCCGGAGTGTTCTGGGGTCTATGAGAAATACCTCATCCTCTTTCTTTTCCGGTCCCGAAAAAGTCATAAATTGTCCAAAACAAAAGGCTATAATACACGAAATCGAAGCAATTGCGAAGGTTTCGGGACCCGGTGTCAAAAAACCACGAGACACTAAGGATACATTATGAGGTTATGTAATGAGGTTTAGAACCATATAGTATCATTATATGTTGTCATAAATGTTTCGGGTGGCCTTAAGTTAATGAAATAGGTGTAAGTTGTAAACGGGTAAATTGACCGCTTAAATGCAAATTGAATAGTTCCACCCACCTAAATGGACATCCAGAGTGTATTTGGGTCTACGGGAGTCATCTCGACAACTTTTTTTTGGGTAAAAAAAAATTGTACAATTTTTTTTAGGGTGTTGATTGAAAACCTACAGTTACAAGATGTCGTCTTTGCCTTTAGACATGATCATGGATGGAACAAGGCCTGAGTAAGATGGTTCCGAGCACTAAGTAGGACTCTTAAGGACCTTTGGGAACCCCAGGAATTACCTAGGTGCATAATCTTGCCGGGTGAAAAAATGATCTACGGAAGCCAAATTTGAAGGCTACAGTACACGAAATCAAAGTAATTTAGGAGATTTCAGGACTCGGTGTAAAAATTCACAGAATAATATGGGATGCATCCTTAGGTTATATAATGTTGTTTAGGCTCATAGACAACCATTAGTTGGATACATAAAGGCCCCGAGGAAGCCTATAGTCAATACAAGAGGTGTGTACAAAAACAACCATACTTACTGTTTTAAGGCAAAGCGGGGGTTTCCAATCACTTAAATGGCCTCCCGGAGTGTTGTGGGGTCCATGAGAAATACCTCATCCTCTTTCTTTTCCGGTCCCGAAAAAGTCCTAAATTGTCCAAAACAGAAGGCTATAATACACGAAATCGAAGCAATTTTGGAGATTTTGGGACCCGGTGTCAAAAAACCACGAGACACTAGGGGATACATTATGGGGTTATATAATGATGTTTAGAACCATATAGGATCATTATATGTTTTCATAAATGTTTCGGGTGACCTTGAGTTAATGAAATAGGAGTAAGTTGTAAACGGGTAAATTGACCATTTAAATGCAAATTGAATAGTTCCACCCATCTAAATGAACATCCAGAGTGTATTTGGGTCTACGGGAATCATCTCGACATTTTGTTTTTTTTGGGTAAAAAAAAGTCCAAAATTGTACGAAGTTGAAGGCTAATCCACGATTTCGGGGCCAATTTTTTTGACACTTTTCAAAAAAATGAACTTAATGCGTGGGGTGTGATCCTTGGGGTCATACTCCTGTTTAGAATGTTAAATTTTGGGTGCCCATTGTGCCAAATGCCTAAGCACCAGCATGTTGTAGTCAAGTAGAGAATCAACAAGCCCTAAATCTGAAGTAACTCAACTTTAGGTATGGAACAAAACATCAGCTGATAGTATATGCAATACAGTCAATACTCTGTATCAAATAGCATGCTTATTGTTCAATTATACTTCGGAATAAAGACACCATTTAATATAGAGTCTAGATAAGTCAAACAGTATGCTTAAAGCAATTGTGATCTTTTGCATTTGTGTTTGTATGGGTGTGCATGTGTGTCTTTATGTATTCATTTTTAAGACCTAACATCATTTCATAAGTTCACACACGGTCATTCGATGGTTTCAGTTTAGCCTTAAAAAAGCCCAAATTAAATCCTTTTCATTCCTTTTAAGGATTTTCTTCTTCTGCAGTTTTAGTATATATACTATATACCAGTTGGATCTATTTACCATTTGGATTTGATTAGAGATCTAAGAAATGACATCTTACAATTACAGGTACAAGATGGTGGAATGAATAAGTGGTTCAGAGGTGGAAAAGCATGTCTCAGAAGTTGAAGGTGATGCTGTAGGTGCCGCAATCAGCTTTCATGAGGCCAAAAATTATACAATATAAATGCTACCGCTAAACGTGGGTGCTGTCTGACTATGTTCAGATTTTTGTATTATGAATACCAATTAGACCTAAAGTATTGCAACTTGCTATTTTAAGTAGGGCTCTTTCCTTGTTCAACTTACTGCAATATGGCCTCGGGAATTTTTGTATTGTTTTGTCACATTTAATGGGTTTACACTCTGAAATCCGGAGGCATTTGATGTGTGTTAATAGTGATTACTGATAGTCGTCACTCATTAGGCTCCAATATCCTGTTGTGATGTAATTTTTATTTTTTGGATAGTTACAAGGCTTTGCTTACTTCCAGCTTGAACAACTCAATCAGAATGCATGGTGGTGTATAGATAGGGGATGCCTATCCAGAGTAGAAAGGGTAATTTTGCTTAAATATCCACATCCATCCTTCACACTCTCACCTTACCCAAGTGGCCATCGTAAGTATCATGGGGCCCATAGAAAACACATCGTATAATATTCTTGACAATTCCTAATATGCTCCAAAGGTTAAAATGAAAGCTACTCCGTATAATACATGAAATTTGACCATTTTCAAAAATTTTCTAGAATTTGTTTTGAAAATTCAATTAATGACTAGAGAATGCATTCCAGGATTATAAAAGGCATAATTTATAAATCATTACTCTATAACATAAGAAGATACATCTGAAGAACAGTGGTAATTTGTACCTAAACTGGAGTAATTAAAATGATACCGAGTAGTAAAACTTATATTTTTTATAAGAAATATTTTTGATGTTGTAACTAGTTTGAGACAATAGGATTATATAAGATAAGATAAAATTTGCACACTTATTTCTTCCATAATAGTCCCAATTTCAACCACTAATCGATTCCTTATTTAATTAATTTTGGAAGTTTCCATTCCATAAACAGAAAAGGAAGGGAAGAGGCAACCCTAGAACAGCTATGTACTACAACCTACTATTTGAGGAAAATCTACTCATTTCACTATTTTTCAGACAATGACATTCACTAACTCAAACTGAAGGCGGCTACACTTCCTCTTTTATGCACTTCTAATGTCAACTTCTCAAACTCAAACCCAACTTAGTTCTTCTGATGAAGAAACTCACCCTCTCAAATCTCTCCTTTCTCCTCCTACCAATCCCACCGACACCACTGGCCCACATTTCCGGCGCCACCGCCTCAACTCCCTCAACACCAACGTCGTTAGCCGACAGCTTCCCTCAGAGGGATTATCCTTCCAGCTATGGCCTGCTGCCACTGCTCTTTTTTCTCTCCTCGACACACACCGCCTTCATTCCTACCTCCCCTCCCACCTTATCCGCCGCCTCCGTGTCCTCGAGCTTGGCTCGGGGACTGGCCTTGTTGGAATAACCGCAGCTGCAATCCTTGGTGCTGACGTGACTGTCACGGACCTCCCTCATGTGATCCCCAACCTCGAGTTCAACGTGTTGGCCAATGCCGAGATTATCTCAGCCAATGGCGGGGCTGTTGTCGCCACTCAGCTTAGCTGGGGGAATGTGGAGCAAATGGAGGTGGTTGGTAAGGAGTATGATGTTATCCTGGGGTCTGATGTAGTGTATCATGATCATCTCTACGAAGTGCTGTTGGATACGTTGAAGTACTTGATGGTAGGAGCAGAAAGAGAGGTGGTATTTTTGATGGCGCACCTTAAGAGGTGGAAGAAAGAGTCGGCATTCTTCAGGAAGGCTAGGAAGTTTTTTGCAGTGGATGTGATTCACCGCGATAGTCCCTCTGATGGGAAGAGGGTTGGTGTTATCGTGTACCGCTTCGTAGCCAAGCAACGCCCTTGTAATTCAGAGGCTAATGTTTCCAACAAAATTTTGGAAAATGGTGTTTGAAAGTTGGGTTTCTTTTCGTTAATTTCTTGTGAAACATGAAATAGCAACTAAGAAATTCTCAGGTATAGTTACTTAAAAAAAAATGTAACAAATTTCATGGTAAAAATACATTAAAGTGTTAGACCAAAATGTGCATGATTCTTTTAAATCAAGTGTTTCAAGTTAAAACACGCATTCCATGATATACATTAATTACAACAAAATCATGTAAACAATAGCAGAATCAAAGAGATTCCCAATCGATGAATTACTTGCAGCACAACACTCACCATATACATATAACCAGCAAAACAAAATTAACACACCAACTGAATACCTCTTCATGCATTCGTTGTTGAAGACACCACATGTTCTGGATGATGGATTTTTTTTCACTACCAAAAATTTGAGCTCAAATGACTCAGGATTATGTTCCTGTCCTCAAACCAGATTATTGTTATAGCTGGAGAATGCTGCTGAGTTAACAGCATGAGCTCTACCTCACAAAAAATGGCAACCATGGAGGGATATAGGAAACAGCAGCACCAGAGCATGAGAGGCAATAGCTTGAGCAGAGAGCTGGTAATGCACGAAAAACATTACTTTTGAACTCTACTATGATCTTTTTCTTGATTGGGAACCTTTCACAGCTTTCATGCTCTGTGAGTCCCTAAAGCAAACAAAGTGGACTAGCGTTGTTCCATTTGGATATACAGCAAACACGCTTGTTCCTATCTTCTTGTTGCAGAGGGAACACATGCTATCACCAGTAACCTTTACAACAGCTTTCCGCTTATCATAAAGTTCCTCTTTAACCTGCATTCAATTCATAAACCAACCCCATATATTAGCCAAAAAAGCGTTCTCTTAATTATATTCACCTATATGAACTTATTTGAATTTTAATTAATCTTTGAACCTTTCCAAACCTAACAAGACTTATTTTCGATTGTTTTTTTGAGCTTGAAGGCACTTATCTAATGTTGAGGGTAAAAAAGAGCACAAGAGACTATTTGTACAAGAAAAGTGCATACCTGGAGATTCTCACTTTCTCTAAGTCTCTTAATCACTGCGAAATTCCTGTGTGTTTCACTGGATTTTCTCAAGAGTGGTCCAAGAAAAGAAAGCAAATTCTGAACAAACAAATGTAATGAAGTACATCAAGAAACAGAAAATTGAAGTTCACAGCAACATCATGTAAGCACATATAAGAATAGATGTTTGAACTTCTAAAACTTCAGAAACAGATCATTCCACAAGACCACAACAGCATCAAATTCATCTACACAACTAAAATCTGCTAATTCTCACAAGACCTTAATAGGATTAAATAAAAAGGGGCAAATATTATATCTAAGTAATTTAGATGTGTGAACAGCAAGCATCAGTGTCAATGGTGTAGTGTAATTTAACATTGTAGCATCAAAATTAAGGGTGAAGTGTAATTTAACAGTTGACAACCATCCAGCGAGGCTTTCATTAGAACAACATTATATAAGGAATGAAATTTACCATTTCTATCCTCATAGTAACGCTGTGTATCCACATAACAGATATCAAGTAACCTACAAGGCATGCTTAGAATCACCTTTTTCAGAATTCCTAGCCTACTATGAAAGAAAATAACATACCTTAAACTTAGTTTCTTTGGGTAACAACTTCAGGGCTTGTGCCCCATTGATTCTTTCCCATCTGCGGCTCAACAAATCAAGGGCCTCATCGAGCATTATATTGGACCCCCCTTCAGAGTTGGCTTCATCTGCATCACCATCACTCTTCCCACTATCCGTATTGCTGGGGCTAAAGCGCACATCTTCTGCACCCTCTATTTCAGCAATTTTTCTAGGAGGACGACCTTTGCTTCTCTTGGAAGCAGAGGAATTATATCTTTTGATTTCAGCATTAGGGGTTGAGACGAGATTGTTGATTCGTCTCTCAAAGTTTCTTGTTGTTCTTCTAGGATTTAAATAGATTTGCAGGAGAGTAAGATATATATTGCTCTGAGACCTTCCAGGAGGTTGATTAAGCTGAGACTCGTAGACTCGATCGCAATAAGAAAGAGCCAATTCAGGAACATGAAGCTACCCATTAATTTGGGGAAAGAGAGAATAAAAAGGGAAAAGATCAACGGTGAGAAATCACATACGTAGTATATAGAAAGAATATGCAAGATACACAGATGAATGAACAACAGAAATTTCGTTTATCATGTATACCAGTACAGTGAAGAAAAAGGATACAGATATATCTTATAACAGGATTGAGTGTAAAGCATACTTGTAGACAATCAACAAGCCAGTGGTGACAGCTAAGTATAGTTTAAGGCACTGTTCTCTTCACCTTAAAATAGTGATATTCAGTAATTTTTATTTCAATAAAATTATTAATTTCAAAGAATAAATACAATAGCAAATTAATAAAAGTAAGTTTTAATCAGTAAAAATAATTTAAGTTTAGAAAAAATAAGGTAAAGAGAACAGGGCCTAAGCGTGTCTAGCAATGCAATGATAGGCTTCTGCCAAACTGAAAAGGACTACATCCAAAGTGACTCGTTTTTACTAAATTTAATATGCAGGAACACCTAAAAAAAGCATGTAAATTAACATTTTTATGCTGTGTGAGTAACTCAATTTATGTCATATCATTACTAACTGAATTTGGACCCTTAAGTAATGGGTAGAATTAACAGAAATTTGTTACGGAGTATATAATTAGAACAGTTGAAAATTCTCAATCTTTTCTTGGACATATGATACATAACAAAATCAATTAGAAATACATGCCCCAAAATACAATAAACACCCACAAAAGTAAATGCAACCATGCCCTCTGCATCCCTACCCTGTGCCACCTCATAGAGAAAGAGAGAGGGGGGAGGAAAGAACCAGGTAATACCTTATGTACATAGAGAGAAAGGGCAAGTTCATGTTGATTCAGCTTCCCCAACAATATAGCCCTTTCTTCATACAAGGCATCAGCTGGAAGACGCTTTAAAAGACCTTCTGGGTTGTACCCTGAAATGTTCTCCAAAGCAGATAATAATTTCTTCCTTGTTGGAGAGTGAGCTATCTCATCCCAAGTCTGTTGTGAGCTCAGTTCTCTATACCAATCAAGAACCTCTGACAGATAGATTTGCACCTATATTTGCAGATACGTCAATACAGAGCAAACACGAAACACACACAAACAAGATGAAAGTCTCACCATTTCATTCTGTAGATGACCAGAGACCCCATCTTCATTCATGGAAAGCATAAGTTCTAGATATCTAGCCTGCATATTTGGAGCATGCTGTTTCAAATAGGAATTCACCAAGTCTGCTGGAATATTTCCTGATAGAAAGAGCTCAATAGTCTGTGTTGGACAGCTTTCAAGAACAAGCATTGCAAATTCCAGCACAAGCATGGGGTCTGTCCCACAAAGAGGCTGCATAAAAAGAAGCTCTAATACAAATTCAATAACTGTGCTCTTGAAGTCATAATTTATCTAAAATAATAAAATATAGTTTAATTTTGCTAGAGCCAGAATTGTACAAAACTCAGCATAAAAGTATCACCTTCAGGTAGTCAATGATCATCTCAGGAGTGAACTTCTGGGTGAGCTCAGGTCGTGGGGGATCTGACTTTGACTCTTCTATTAGTTGGAGCAAAAGCTTCAAAGCTTCACGGTGCATATCATTGCACTTGTATAATTCGAGTAATGCAGTATATTGATATGATTTGTGCAAGAACTCCTCAGATATCTTCATGTCACAGTAATTTACACCTCTCAATAGTTCCACAGCAGCAGAAGACTGTCCTGTGAGAATAAGAGCTTGGAGAAGTGCGGTGTCCAGTATAGCAGCCCTCTCACGACCCCCTGAGCTAATGGGAACGCTGCCACGACCCTAAATTATCCAGAACAAATAAATCTGTCAATAGTACTGATCTAACAAATCAATTAGTTAGGTGTAAAAGTAAATATAACACTGCTCTTTGTGTCTTTTTTTTTTTTTTTTTTTGGATAATATCAATTGGTTTATAAAAGATTGCTATCCTGTTTTTAAATATGCGCGTTTTCGAAGTTATATGGTTAAAGGTTTCAATTCAATAGATGAATAAATAACATTTATGTATGAAAAGGAATCAATATTTAAAAAGTACTTGTTACCGAAACCATTTACGACGCTTCTTTTAAGGGATTCGTTTCCTGTTCCTTTTATGAAAGAATGGTATATATACGTTAAAAATAACGGAGGGTGTGAAATAAGACATCGATTGAATGATCCAATGATCCACATTCAGAAGTCGTCATATAAACCAATGCTCTTTGTGTATATTTAAAAAAAACCTTGTAGATTATGATTGCCATTAGATGCAATTTGCAATTTAAGGTGACAAAGAATATCCCCACATGAGATATGCGGTCTGCTTAAGAAAGGTTAGTCAACAAAGTAAGTTACCTTATTTGACTTCTTTGACCTATTGGAGTCATAAGATTTGAAATTAGCACCAAAGGCGTCAGAGACAGCCTCATCTGTTCCCTCTGCTGCAGCCTTTTCAATAATATTGAACCTTTTCTTCTGCAAGAACTTGATTAGTGCCATAAGAGTATTGTGGCTAACTATCTTGGACTCCACGGAAGCATTTTCTTCTAAGTCACTATGTGCTCTAGGTGAAGTTTCCATGTCATCAGATATGCCCGACGAACACCTCGAGAGATCTGAAGCATCCAAACTAAAATCTATCGCCTTTTGTGGCTCCGGAAGCACAGTCGACTTTGGAACAATAATTGATGGGTAAAGTGAAAGCACATATGTGATATCAACTTGTGAATCAACAAAATGCTCCATGGCCTCCTCATAGCTACCATTTTCAAACAAATGATGTGCATATCTGCATTAACAGGGAATGATCATTAGAAAAGGGTAACAAAATCCAAAACATGTAATTTGAACATTAACAACAAAAACGATTGGCTAAATATTGGTCATATTCCGTATCAGGCCCGTCATTAAAAAGGGACCATTCCTTTAACACCCCCTCACTCTTAAAAATCACTCAGGAAAAGAATTGATGACTATTGGGCAACTATAGGATGTTTTCTACTAGTAATCACTAACAAGCGACTGGCCCCAAAGGGGTCTTTCAAGAAAATTTAATAACCTTCAAAAAAAAGGTGTGCCTTCAAGCCAACCCCTCGTGGCTCTTTCTGAGTTTAGAAAACTCCCTAAACTCAGTAGGATCTTTTAACCCTTGACCGTAACGTCATTAAGTACCAGATTGTAGTCTTTGTATGGGTCAAAAACCCTTGAATGAGTTATATCTATGGTCATATACGGCCCCATGTGCAAGTCTGAAGACTTACCCCGATTCATCAACCTTTCCTTCAGAACCCTAAAACTGTTCTGGGGCCATAATCTATATCCTCCAGATTGGGGGTCTTTCAAGGCATATCTAGAACCCAAATGGACAAAGGGAGTCAAGCAAAACTTTTGGAGATAGCTTAAGAGCACAAAAAGAAAACTGCTATTCAACTTTATTGGGACTTTCCAATTCCACCAATGTCTTCTACGGCCTTTCAAGACATAGCCTAGGACATAATTAGGGGAAAACAAATCTTTGGTTCAGAGTCATAACCGATATTAAAATTTAAGAGCATAAATGAGCTGTGCATGGAATACTATGTAGATATCAAATGAGTAAATAAGTAGCACACAAAATCATGATGAAATTATTTACCTAATGTGGATAGAACTCTCCTTTGCAGCTCTGAGACTTGAATCTTCTGGTGGAAGGAGTTTACACAAAGCTAAGGCCTCCTCAAAATTGCCAGATGCTGTTAATTGCACTATCTGCATTTGGAAAATTGTTCTCTTAGTAATCACTGCTAATTCATTTACCAATCCTACTCCAAAATTGTCAAGCTAACATTACATTGATTTTGAGATTCTTCGGTAGCTAGTAGCAAAAAAAGTACCATAAGGCTCCTTGGAAGGAGCCAGCTAAGCAACGACTAGAAGTCATGACTAATATTAATGGATTCCGATCTCAAAATTGATGCAACATTATGGGATTCATAGCAGCGGTATGCAATTAAGTTACGAACGAGTCGGAGACATAACCCATAATCATCTCATCCAACTATTATAGCTCCTTTGATGCAATGAATTTCTTTAGAAGACTGTTTTCTTGAGTAATATTTAAAATAGTTATAGATTGTAAAGCCCTATGTGAAATCACAAGAGCAAAGTAAGCAAGATAGTTTATTAACTTCTATAGAATCCCATTTCACACTCGACCTTTTGCTTTATCGCCTTTATAGCTCAAGCTATAAATGTTCAAACACCACTTTCCAGGACAGATTTCCCTGTCCATAGCTGTAAACATTGAAAATAGCTTTGAGGCCAAAATTCCAAACTACCCTTTGTTTTGTGTCTTCATTACAAAGAGCAAATTGACCTAATATTCACCAGCAAAAATGATACTACCGGGTATGATATTGACCATTTGTAGCTAATTATATTCTTAAATGCTGTCTAATATTCCACTTATATGGTCAAAATATAGCCCATACCACTTCTGTCCTATATATACATTCAAAATTCAAGCATGGAGCAAATATGAACTATTTATTCTAAAAAATAGGTCGCTTGATTTATATAACAATATATGCAGCGAAAAAAAATGCATGTCGGAAGATATATTGTATTTAGTGGTCAAAGCAGTAACTGCATCATTCCAAATCTCAGAGCAATTAAACAAAGCTCAGCGCTGGCAGAGCTTATAAGGAGGAGCAAAGACAGTTATCAAAATAAAGAAGTCATCGTGAGATAAGTTAACACAGGAGGGGATCATAAGGCAATCATGGACTTGAAGGATCAAGCACTACCTGTGCACCCAAAGGAACTGGGAAGAGGCCATAGACAGATTTCTCTAGAGAAACAATAATCGCACTGTTGCTGCGTATGACATGCCGAACATTTCGCAAGCCAACGGTTTGTATTAATGGAAATGGTTGTTGAAGAGACCTTATCTGTATTAACAATCAAATATAAGAAAATGGATGATTGTTAAAGCTTAATGAACAAGAGAGAATCTATGTTTCCTCTCTTCAGCTACAGCTTTACACTATTTAGTTTGCAGCTTAGCTCACCTCGATATGCTTAGACAGGAGACCTATAGCATAAGGCTCGTGGATAACAATTTGACTGGGGGCCTCAGACCAACAAATCCTGCCTTCCTGTCCAAGTTTCCCATTTTGGTCCACAAAAACCCCAATATTATCCTGCATGAAGCAGGTAAAATATGCAAGAGCCATATAAGCACTAAGTTATTGTTCGGTTGTTCCAAAGCAAAGTAATTGACACCTAAAGTGTTCTCCTCCATGATGTCAATAAAAGAAAATATTATAAAAGGGATCATCTTCTAGAGGTCATGCTATAAAAGGCCATAATTCTTTATGTCAACCATAATAATTTCCCAATAGAACTTCCAGCATTTCATGACGTCTGAAATATAATCTGGATTTCAAGGGATTTCAAGCTCACTAATTGGGATCAAAAACATGGTTAAACACCATATCACATAATCAAATAAACAGAATCCATGATCCTTCTACACTTGAGAAAGAGGGGGGGGGTGTTTACCTTCCCAAGAAGAAATCCTCCAGAAGGTAGAGACACCACCAAAGGTGGGGAAATTCTCCCTGAAGAAAACACTTCAGACATTGCACCAGTAGTAGCATTGAGTATCATGTATTCCTTTCGAACTCCAATGCATATATTTTCACCACACCAAGCCATTGACTTCACAGTATCTGAAACATTATAGTCTTTCACCTCGACAAACCCCCGACCTCCTACACAAATTGAGAGAGAGCTCGACAGCTTATATTAACAAATACTTACCACCATCAGAGCCCTCGGCAAAATGAAACTAAAATCAAAATAAACCCTCCAGATTATAATTAGATAACAATAAGAAACATGAATAGTATTTAGATCGCTTGAAGACTAGCTGAATTGAAAGGGTTAAATTATGACATATAGAAGAGTATTACATTATCTAAAGTAATTAAAAATATGATCAAGGGAGAAAAGTTTGCAGAACAAAATGAGTTAAAGAAAAAGGGGGGAAATGTGTGTGTATATAAATCACCGTCTCTCCCTCCACTCTGCCTATCCAATGCCATATTTTCCTTATCCCAAATAGATTTTGGTCATACAATTTTGAAAAAAAAAAATACTACATTGTGCGCTGCAATTAATTAAAATGTGTATAAATGTATATTCAAGTTCAGTACTTAAACAAACACAAGATTACTAGATGAAATATTACCATCATGCCGGAATATCCATATCTTTCTCTGCTTGGAAAAACACAAAAAAGCCCTAGATTCATCCCAAGAATAAGCATTCGCACCTTTGGCCTTGGAAATTACGGCAACAGTCTCAAAGGAAGGGAGCTTATGAAATGAAATAGACTCAGAAAGAGAAAGAAGCTCTTGCGACCTCAAAACCTCCATAGCAATGATTGGCCTCCTTGCAAAGCCATTTATGGTTTTCTCTTGAAAGTAGGATTCTTTTAGAAGCTCTAATTGGCTAGCATGATAATCAGATGGTGGAGATGATTCAGATGCAGATTCAGGAGCATAGATTCGAAGAGACCCATCGCTGCAGCCGAGAAGAAGTTTTGAGCCATATGATTCAACAGCATCAATCTTTGTGGGGAAATCACTGATAAGCTCAAAGGAATCATATGCACTATGGACCATCTCTCTGCTAATAAAATGTTGTTGGTCATGAGTATACAAAAACAAGACCAATTAAATCAATAACACAACCAATCAATCTAAAACTAGCTAATCAATTACTGTTGATTACTTGACTTTTGCAGCTTATCTCTCTTGGAGATAGGATCCTATGATTTTCAAACAGAAAATGTGCAGCCAAAAAACAAATGCCCAATTTTAGTAATCTAACACTACTAGCACCCGGCTCCCAATATCGGTTCCCTCGACATATTATCAGTTCTACCATTCTACGAGCCCTTGATTCATCATAGGTTAATTGTCAAACACACAAGTTTCATTCCCCACAAACTGACACACGCACAAGTTCAATCTTAGCATCCAACAATACCACGGCTCCCAATTTCGGTTCCCTCGACAATTCGACATATTATCAGCTCTACAAACCCTTTATATCTTTACCAATTTGTAGAGCCAGCAGTGTTTTAAATTCAGGCCCGTCCCTGAGGCAGGGCAGGAGGGGCGGCAGGGAAAAGAGCTCTCATTTCATAGTTAAATCCTAAGATTAAAGTATTGTGCAATACATTAGCAACCAAATTTGATTCATAATTATAGGGATATTTGATTCCATTATCGATCTCGTAATTTTAGGGATATTTGATATGATGATAACAAATACAAACAATTTACCTCAGAAGTTGCTTCAATGGAGAATACAAGAACTAGACTCAACGGAGAGCGCTAACTGCGCTTCAATGGAGAACGTTGAATGCGCTTCAATGGATATCTGACTAATTTGAAAGAGAGCAATTCCATGGATCCATGACCCGTCACAGTTATTAAAGTAATAGATCCGTCTAATAAAGTAATAAAAAAAAATGGGGCTGATTCTTTATACGATCATCCAATTATAAGGCAGCGTAGACCTTTTATGGGGCGTTTGGTTCGCAAACTGGTATGGGATTGGAATTAGGAATAAAACCATAATTTTATAGGTTTGGAACTTGATTCTTAATACCATATGTTTGGTATGCTTATGGAATGCAATTTTTTTTCTTTTATTTGATATCTAAAAGTATGAGAATGAGCCAAACTCACCTCCCCTTATGGTTTCTAAACCTCATACCTTAGTAGCATGTTTGTTTGGGGGGATTATTGATGGGATAAGGATTTAAAAGGATGTTTTTCCAAAGTGAGCCAATTTTGGCAAATATTAACCAAAATGGTTGTGTGGCAAAAGTATTTACCAAACTAAGCTTCCAGGCTAAAACGCTGTCTCGGTCAGCGTTTTATGCCTGGGTTTTTTTTTAAAAAAAATCAACCTAAAAACGCTGTCTGGGACAGCGTCTTTGTTGTTGACCTTTTTTTAAAAATTTTGTAATTGTCTTTTATTTGTAAAAATGTTTAAAAAAAAAAAACAGTTATACCAAAGATGTTGTCCCAAACAGCATTTAACTCTGGAACTATAAACGCTGTCTCAGACAGCGTTTAAGGTTATTAATGAAACGCTGTCTGAGACAGCGTTTCTGTCGTTTTTTTTTTTTCCCTCCAACAGCGTATTTCATTTCATTTCCTCCTCCTTCATTCTCAAACCCCTTCTTTCTTAAACTCTAACTTAATCCCCCTCTCTCTCATACTTGTGCTCCTCCGTGTAGACCGTCGCCGGCGCCGCCACCTCCACCGTCGCCCTCCGTGTAGCCCACTATACACTCCCCTCACCTTGAAATAGGTATTCATTCAACTTTCTTTGTGTTTTAAATTCTAGGGTTTATGTTGGTGATTTCTAATTTTTTTGGAATTGGGTTAAAATGTTGATGAGGTTGAGTTGTTAGTGTTAAAAATGTTGAATTGTTAGTGTTGGTATTGTTGAATTATTAGTGTTGGTAATTGTTGAATTGTTAGTGTTGATAATGGTAGTGTTGATATTATTAGTGTTGATAATAGTTTGGATAATGTTGAATTGTTGTTGTTGGTTTTGTTGAAAATTGTTGACAATGGTTGATAATTATTAGGTTTTGAACAATTGTAATTACCTACATTGTTGTGTAATAATGGTGATTTACGGGTTCTTAGTAGTTAATTTGTAGAGTATGTAAAAAAATTTTGTTTGATTGTGGTGATTTAGGGATGATTTAACAGCTTTACGTAAAATGTGTTTTGGTTGTTATGTAGAATATGGCTGGACAAAATGTAGCGTTGTTATGTCGATGGGGAGGTGAAATTTTGTGTAATGGATCAAATGTGGAGTACAGTGGAGGGAATATGGACCTTATAACACTTGAACCGAACATGACTGTGACTGATCTGATGAATGAGGTTCACAGTTGTATTGGTTCAAACCTTATGACTGTTGAACTGAACCTTAAAATGAGGTGTGATACTGGTCATGGGGTGCAAGTGTTACCTGTCTCTACGAACAGACATTTGAAAGGTTTGAGGAGCATGGTAGGAATGAAGGGTTTTCCCAATGAGATATATGTAGAAACAGTGCATGTATGTACCCAACAAAGTACTCGGGCAGAACAGCAAGCTACATATGTCTCTGATTACAACACCGCGTCCTTCCAAGAGCCCGCAAACCACATTCCATCGAATGCATATGGGATGGGTTCTTTCACTCGAATGATGCAGGACGACCAATTTCACTTGCCTTTTAGTTCTCATATAGCAGTACATGCGGGGGGACGAGTGACAGTGTTCGGCCAGCCTGCTCCGTCGTCATCGAACACCGTGGCATCTTCGCCGATGCAATTGCATAGATACTCTCCTATGCAAGGTGATGATGGTTCACCGTTTCGAGAAGAGCCAAATCATTTTGATGATGTTGTGAATAATGAATTGTCGGTGTATGATGTGTATGCGGAAATGGATGATGAGGACGAGAACGGAGAGGGGGATGATGAACCTACACAGGTGGAAGATGGTCAGCCGTTGGTTAGAACTCCCATACCTTGGTTCAGTGAGGTACCCGAGAACTATGAAGTTGATCAGTATTGGGCCGAATCGGGTAGCCACACCTCTTTTGTTCCCGGGGGAGAATTTGAGAAGGGAATGTATTTTGAGAGCAAGAAACTGATTCAAGAAATGGTGAAGATGTATTCTATTCAGAGGAATCAATTCTACACCACAGTGACCTCGAATGATGGTGTCCTACATCTGCGATGCAAGAAGAAATGTGGTTGGATGCTACGGGGTACCAAATTGAGTGAGCACTCACGTGGTTTTACCATAGTCACGTACAAAGGCCCGCATCGGGAGACATGTATCACTGAAGTACTATCTAATGATCACCCACACTTGGATTCGTCCGTAATAGCCGAGTATGTGAAGTCCTTTGTGCGGAAAGATCTTTTGTTGGAAGTGGAATTCATACAGAAACTGATCTCGAAGCAATTTCATTTCGATGTCCCGTATCGACGAGCGTGGTATGCCAAGGAGAAAGCTATAGCTGAGATATTTGGGGATTGGGAGAGTTCATATGGCAGACTTCCCCACTTCATGCAAGCACTCCTACGGTCGAACCCGGGAACATGTGTCGTATGGAAACACAAAGCTTTAGTGGATGGTGTATACTACAGCAACATGGAAGTGTTTGAACGAGTGTTTTGGGCCTTCGGTCCTTGTATCGATGGCTTTAAACATTGTATGCCTGTTATCTGTATCGATGGGACGCACTTGTACGGGAAGTATAAAGGAACACTGTTGGTTGCTACAAGTGTTGATGCAAGCTTCCAAGTATTTCCTATTGCATTTGCGGTGGTTGAAGGGGAAAACACTTCCAACTGGTCTTGGTTCCTAGGTTGTATTCGAGATCGTGTCACGCAACGGGATGGCCTTTGTGTTATTTCTGATCGGCATCCTGGGATCATTGCAGCAATGAATGATCCTAATGTTGGATTCACCCAGCCCCGAGCGTATCACAGGTTTTGTGTCCGCCACATAGCCTCTAACTTGAAGACTCACGTGCGAAGTAACGACATGAGAGACATGTTCAAGGACGCTGCGTACCAAAGGCAAGAAAGAAAACTTCAAGCTGATCTGTGTTTCATTGGTGAGGCCTGTCCCAAGGCCATTGAGTACATTGCTCAAGTCCCGTTCCCTATGTGGTCTCTGTTTCACGACAGTGGTCGCCGGTATGGTATATGTACTACTAACTTCTCGGAGACATTCAACAATGTGCTGAAAGGAGCTCGGTTTCTACCGATTATGTCCCTTGTCGAGTTAACCTTCCACAGAGTTAACAAGTATTTCACTTTGAGAAGGGAGTCTTCTGAAGCTAGGTCTGATCAGGGACTTCTATACCCCCCAAAGGTCACTGCCATCCTCGAGAAGAACACCGCTAAAGCCAGATATCATAGAGTGGATGCCTATAACCGGCGATTGCATATTTACCAAGTGACAACAGAGAGGGGAGATAGAGTTGGTAATAAAGGAGGCCACAAGCATACGGTGAACTGGCAGTTGAGAACGTGTACGTGCAACAAACCGAAGATATTCCACCTCCCATGTTCTCATGTGCTAGCAGTCTGTGCTACATACTCACTATCAGAACGGCCTTGGGTGGACCCTCTGTTGCAGTCGGCCGCCTACATGAACACCTATGCACCACAGTTCTAGCCGATCCCCTACGAGACAACCTGGGCACAGTGGGCACAGTACGTAGGCCCTAAACTCATTCCGGACGGCACAATGATACGTGGAAAAGGTGGATGGTCCCCAGACTCACACAGGCACATGCGGCGACGGGTCTCCCATACTACCGAGACGCCCTTGATCGACTCACTGAGGATCAGGTACAAACTCTGAAGACATTTGTAATCATTTAGGTACTGTGTATACTGATTATGGACTAACTTATTTAGGATGTGTTATTGCAGATCACATGGGATCCGTATGTACCGGAGTTGGTAGATGTCATGCCTGCACATCTACTGGAGCATCAGGGAGAGTGGCGTGCCCGGGTCCCCCTGATCTGTTTCGAGGTTGTGGAGAGTCACCTACCTGACCGCGTCATGCGACAGTTCGGACTGCAGCAGCCTATTCCCCAGAACTGTGACACTGTCGTGCGCCTTCACGACATTGACTGTCGGGGAAAGACGGAGACAAACTGGGCACTGGAGCATTGGTAGTATCTTCAGCTATGGGAGCAGCGGTTGGGTCATGTCGTTCAGGGTTATCCCGTGCAGGGCGTTATGGATCATGACGATCCGTACATGGTGTGGTACAGGCTTATCACACGCCGTTTCATCAACCCCAGCTACACACCACCGTCCACCCATTACCACCCGGCACATGACGTCATTAGCGGATATGTGAGTTTCTTTTACTATACTTATCATCCTCATTTTTTAACTTTTTTAAATATCATGTACTTGACTGATCGATGATTACTACAGGCGGCGGATATGGTGGCGATGTATGATGCACTGTCCCTCGCCCTTACAGACGGACCCACCAGAGCCCAGGTCCAGCGGATGCGAGATATGTCCGCGACTTCCTTACGCAGACATGGTCACGGTCATCTCATCCAACAGCGGGACAGTGATGATGGTCACTCCATCCATTCGCGGTTCAACCCCGGCCAGAGTAGCAGTGGAGGTGATCCTACGTCGCACACAGAGGCAGAGGAGTACATCTTCCACAGTTCTGCACCCTTCAGAATCCAGGAGGACACATCGTCCAGCCAGCTCACTCCCCCCCCCCCCGCGCCGGAACCCATTCACCACCATTCACCATTACACTCGGCGTCGTCCAAGACGAAGGGACGACAGTGAGGCTAGGGAAGGGTTACACCAAATTGATGAGTAGTGAACGTATTGTATCATTGTTTTGTCCTTTTTCCTGGAATGCTGTATATAACGATTGCATTATCAATATAAGACATGCTGGTTGAATGAATCTGTTTGTGTTTTGAAGTTTTGTTTGCTTATTTATCCAAATCGGATTAATGTCAGTCAAAATAGATCCTTCAGGGCTAATGTACATTAAACAACAGACATTTGGAATCCATAGTCGAAAATGGGGAAGAAAGGATGGCCCGTGGTGGTTAATGTGGTTGTTCATGGTGGTTTTAGTGTTGTTGGTTGTGGTGGGTGGTTATCGACGGTTGTTGAATGGTTGGGGTTGGTGGTGGAGCTGGTTGAAGTGTTGTTGGAGGTCAAAAGTGGTGGCAGATGGTGGTCGATGGTGGGGGTTGTTGGTGGATTGTGGTGGCAAGAATCATGGCAGGGGGTGGTGGGTGGGGGCAGAAGAAAGTGGCAGATCAGTGGCAAAAGGCTGATTCTGCTGCTGTTTTGCACACCAGCAGAGAAACGATGTCCCAAACAGCGTTTTAGGTTGAAAATAAGACGCTGTCTGAGACAGCGTTTTAGGTACAATGAAGTTTGTACATAAAGCGCTGTCTGGGACAGCATCTTTAGTATAACTGTTTTTGTTTTTTAAAAACATTTTTATAAATAAAAGGCAATTACAAAAAAAAATTTAAAAAAAGGTCAACAACAAAGACGCTGTCCCAAACAGCGTTTTTAGGTTGATTTTTTTTTTTAAAAAACCCAGGCATAAAACGCTGACTGAGACAACGTTTTAGCCTGGAAGCTTAGTTTGGTAAATACTTTTGCCACGCAACCATTTTGGTTAATATTTGCCAAAATTGGCTCACTTTGGAAAAACGTCCGATTTAAAATCCCTCATGTCCCATTTTCCCTTGTTTGTTTGAGGGGATACAAGTTATCCCATAGGAAAGGGATGGGGACTAAATAGAGGTTTATCCCTCTATTTCCATAACAAGGGGGGCAAGTATAAGGGTTGGGGATAAAAATTAAATGGTAAAAGACAATTTTACCCTTAATGAAAGGGAAGGAAAAAAGAGGAGAAAAGTTAGTAAGGATAGTTAAGTAAATTTACTACTTATCCCAATTTAATACCCAACTCATTCCAAACAATGAATAGCATAATTTTTATCCTTATCCCACCTAATAATTCCTTATTCTTATCCCACCTAATAATTCCTTATTCTTATCCCACCTAATAATTCCTTATTCTTATCCTACCATCTTATCCTTATTCCTCTTGCCAAACGCCACGTTGGGGTTTAAGGTATGGGTTTAAAACTCTTAAAATCATAAAACAAACATAAGGTATGTGTTTAAACCATTCTAAACCCATACCTTATACCTTGATTATGTGAACCAAACGCTCCCTTAAGGAATTAGAGTAAACCTGTTTTAAAAAGTATGGAATATTAGGATTTTTTTTTTAATACTCCGTAATATGTAGTATTAGTTTAAATTTACAAATCATTTTCCCAAATATTATTTTCACACACCAAACACATAAACCAAATAAAAAAAAATGAATAAATTAAACTATTTTAAGCGGCTATTTTAATACTAAATTGATTCTGCTAAAAGTATTTAAAAAAATATAACTTTTTTTTTCACAGTTCGACCTCTCGTAGACAACAAAGTTAGAAGATACAGATTCTAAACCTTGTAACATTTTTTGATGGTATCACATGTGCTTGACGGAAAGGAACATATTGAAAAAAAAACACAAGCTTGTTTCTTTTCATACTCCGTACTAAACTAATTATCATTTAGTTTTATCTTATATTTTAAATCATACTTTAAATGAATGTAACAAGCAAAATGGTTTTTTTTTTTTTTTTTTTGTTTCTTTATAAAAACAATATGAATGCAATTCAAATATATAAAAATATAAATGAAAAAAAATCAAATTAAAAATAAAAATTAATAGAAAAAAAACAAATTAAATATGTTTCAAAAAAAAAAAAACAAATTAAATAAATAAATAAATTAAACTAAATAAAAAAAAATAATTAAATTAAACCAAATAAAAAAATTAATTAAATTAAAACAAAATAGTCCCGGCGGGGTTCGAACCCGCGACCTTCGGCTCATAAGACCAACGCTCTAACCAACTGAGCTACGGGGCTATATTGTTATAAGTTTGTAAAGATATGTATTTAATATAAAATAATATTCCGTTAACTTCCCCAAATGATTGATGGTCCCCAAACCCGTCCAAAAGAGCCCAAACAAACCCTCAGAATAAAACACGTGTTACAACACCATTCGCTGAACTGTACAAAACTTCCATTTTGTCCATCTCTCTCACAAATTCCTCCATTTTTCTCTCTCCTCTCTCTCAAGTCTCAATGACTCACACTAATCTCTCTCCTCCATTTTTGTAATCAGAAGTTTGATCAGAAAATGACGGTCGGATTATGTAACGCTAATCCGGTGGTCCACGCTAAGAAAGATAGAGTCTCCCGCACTGAAGACACTGCCGCTGACTCCTCCTCCTCCTCCTCCGCCGTTGATCCTCTCGACGTCTATGATATCCTCTTTTTATTTTTATAATTATTACTAAGGGTTAAAAATGTTATACTTCGTAATTATTTAATTAATTATTTGTATTAAAGTTGATGTTTTATTTGCCTTAACTTGGTAACAAATCATGTGAGGGATATTAGAGATCCGGAGCATCCATATTCACTGGAGCAACTCAGTGGTCTTTCTGAGGATTCTATTACTGTTGATGATAATCTTGCTCGTATTTTATGAGTCTTCTTCACTTTAACCATTTCTTTCAATTTTTTCTTTGTTATCTCATTGATCTGATTTTTTTTTTTTTTTTTTTTTTTTTTTTTTTTACCTATTAAGTTTGCTTATTGTATTTAAAAATTTATGATGGACCAATAATACTGTTAAATTTACTGATTACTGGTAAAAATTTGCAGATTAGATAATTCTTGATTAAGAGTTGACATAACTATATATTAATCTGTATTAGTTGGACACACCTAATTTCCATACTTGGGCATTTAAAATCATAGTATTGGCTTACTGTAATTTGTAACTCAGTGGTCAAGTGTGCTATGCTACCGTTGTATATCTTATGTGACTACTCGAGTTCGAAACATATCAATTTAATAACACACAGGGAATTCCTGTCAAAATTAGAAGATGTTATTAATTGGTGCATTTTGCAAAAAACTTAGAATTAGTTATATACGAAGTAGTACTTATCTCTGTATTTGTATTTAGTTAGTTAGTAACACCACATGTTTTCCTTGTGCTTTTTTTACCTACAACGATTTTGCTGCATGTTTGCTTTGCAGCGTTACATTGGCCTGTTGTTACCTTGAAATATCTCTTAAGCTTCCCTAAAGTTTCGGGGATTGTGAATGTCGAATGGTCGACCTCAGTTTAACATGTTATAGCTGGCTATTCTGAGCTTACTTTGTTGCCACAACTTTACTACTTCTAAATGAGATGGTTGATTGTGTTGAAGAAACTCAGAAGTAATTATTTTTGTGCTAAAGTAGCCTGTTTCTTTTGCTCCTGGTCTCATTAGCCTCGCCCCTAATCATGACCTTGTGCATTGTGGTCTTGTTCAACAGGATAACATTCACCCCAACCGTCCAACATTGCAGTATGGCGACTGTTATTGGCTTGTGCCTAAGAGTTAAGCTAAAGCATCACTTTCCTCCTCATTATAAGGTGAGTAGTTACGCCTCAATCCATTAGCTTGAACTTATTTTCCTAATTGATTGATTCATTTGGTATGCTTGATGTATTTTCTGAAAAGTCTTTCGAGCCTGGCCATTTCTATTTGTCATGCCATACGATAAATACAAAATGTATAGATCAAGTAGAGTGAAGAGCAAAATCTACCGTAATCAACTGGCCTGATGGGTTGATATTGGTAGCTGAGATATGGATATTTCCACTCTTTAATTGTCACTTGTCTTATGTTTTAGTATGAATCACGCCATCATGTCTGATCATTAGCATATCCAACAGAAAGAACAATGTCTTACATTGTCATCCAGTGGTCTTCAATCCTTGAGTAATCTGAAATAAAACCATGCTGGTGAACTGGGAGTATATTATTGCTGAAACTGATCGTTTGTTTGTTCTTTGAGTCATACTTTTCGTTCAATGTGAGGCTCTTGTGTAATGGGGAAGCCATGATTTTCTCAGACGAATAATACAAGTTTTGTCTTTTTTACACAGGTTGACATCAAAGTATCCCCTGGCTCTCATGCAGATGAAGGATCAGGTTAAGCTTGCAGATTTCTGAAATTCCTGTCTAATTGAGCTTAAGACTAATTTTTTAGCATAACTCACTATGTTACTTCCACTGTGTTACGAATAGACTCTGAAATTATCTCCCAGCTCCTTGGCTAACTTCTCATCTGTTTCGTATATTCCTTGTAGTGAACAAACAATTGAACGATAAAGAGAGAATTGCAGCTGCCCTAGAAAATCCAAACCTTCGCCAGCTTGTGGATGAATGCCTCTCTTCCGATGAAGTAATTAGCTTCAATTAGTTGCAGTGTTGTGATGTATGTACAGTAAAAACCTTTGTAACTTAGTATGAAATATAGTGAGAATCTTTTGGCTTGTATTCTTGTAATGATGTTTGTAAGCTGAGAAGTGCACGTCTTCTGCTTTCTAATGTAATGTATGCTACTTGCTGTATCATTAAGGGCCTTGAAATCAGTTCTTATTGATCCGTATATTGTGCCCGATTAGTTTGTACTTTCTTGTGCTATCTATCCATTACAATTCAGCTATGAAAATTGCAAAGGACATTTTGCAGTAAGATATCGTGATGACGATCTGAGGAAAGATGGCCAAAGTGTCGATAATTTGTAGAAGAGCTTAGGCAGACCGGTAATCTACTGCCTTTCAGCCTCCTCATATCCCCCTTTCTTATTAGTTACTCCACCTTTGAAGTTGTTTATAAAGCATCTTTGAAGAGTGGTCTATAAATGTTATATTTAAACGTATACACATAGTACTGCTATGAGTTGCATAACAATTACAGCCGCGGACCTTGCATATATGCAGGATAAAATTGAGGCACAACAAAGTAATTTGTGTTTTCTCCCTCCAGTAAATTACAGTAACTTATTTAGCTATTAATGGGGAGAGCAGTAGAGCACCATGAAGATAGCTGATGCTTGATTTCTGCACTAAATTTCTCACAAACTATCAGTTTACAATGCTTTGCCTTTTTTTTTTTCTTTTTTTTTTTTGGCAATGAGTAAACAAAGACAAACTAACACCATGTCCCTTTTCTTATGAGGACCACAAGACTATGGGCCATGGCTACTTCAGTTCTAGCTACCTTATTACAGTGCTTTGCTATTGCTCCCTAAAATGGCTCTGGAGCTACTTCAGCTTTTGAATGTCCACTGGGAAGAATGGACTGCACAGTTATATCTCGAGTAACACAGCCCTGAGCAGCATAAGATGGCTTGTCGTCAAACCCCCAATATCTAGAAGCCTTTACATCATCCTCAGCCATCATTCTTGAGAATTCCTCGTGATCATATTCTAATGTGGCATTACCACCAAACTCCTTTGGAAGGTTTTCCACATCAAAGTAAGACCTCATCAGCTCAGCACTGTCTTTATTCTTAGGATAAACAAACTTCACCTTCTGAGAAGTTTTGGGATCCAGGAAATATTTTACAGCCTGGTATAAGTTAAGATTAACAGTTGTCAGATAGCTGCTTGAAAAAATATGGAAAACAATTACTTCCTCCGTTTTTTTATTATTGCACCATAAGGGTTGGGTACAAATATTTTGATAGTTGAAAAAAGTAATAGAGAGAAAGGTAAAAATACAAAATTGCCCATGTGACATATTGATAAATTAAAAAGTGTGAAAAAACAAGGGTATGTTTGGTATTTGTAATGTGAACACAAACAATTTTTTTCCTAAAAAGGAAATGGTGCAATATTTGTGAAACTTCCTAAAAAGGCAAGTGGTGCAATAATAAAAGAACGGAGGAAGTATTACAAAAGACTATTCAATTCCAGCTACAGGCCTACAGCATATGCCAAGAAGTTAGTTCATAATACCAAGATAACAAGACATTTATAAGGGTTTGGAAAAGTGGCACCATTGGAAAAGTGGTTAGTCAGCATTACCAACCTCATTAAATGGCAACTATGCTATTACTCGTCAAAGAGAAATACGAGACAACAAAGAGCAAATAAAATGCACATAGCGCGTGTTACTAACCCTCCAGAATGCATAAAAGATCCTTGGTGGATTGTAAAGGACTGCTATTCCAAGTCTTTCAGGGTAATGGTTCTGCAAAATATTGATGATATCTCGAGCTGTTCTGACTGATAAACTGGTGCTCATTGAAAAGCCGGTATAATCTATCATCCACACCATCTGCTCTTGGCCCTCGGGCAGGTTGAGGATGGCGTTTTCTAACAAATAGACTAAGTGGCGGACATTACCTTCTGCTGATGTGGTATTCTGCAACATAGACAGAGAATTTTAGCTTTACAAATCTATGCATAATACTGTCTGGACGAGGAAAGAACTAAAGATCACCTGCTTCCCTGGCCTCATTATAAGGACAGTCCTTCCTTCACGATCATGAAAGTTCGCTCGGGAAACCTTTCCTGTCTCACCTTCATGTGCGACTTCATGCTGGCAATAAAAAATAATAATAAAATGAAAATATTATTAACAATATCAATAATTTTAAAAAAAATTATTAAAAAAAAAAAGTTCAAGCATTCACATAAACAAGCAAGAGAAATAGTACTAATTATAATTTATTCAAACTTTGTGAAAAACATGATGGTTCTTCTCCTACGACTATGAGAAAATCCTAACTTCTAAGTTATCTGAATCATCTGATACTTGACCTTTACACAGAATTTTTATCATACAAGTAAGGATTAAGTCAGCTTGTTATGGCTTTACTTTGTCAAGGAACAGTAGCAAATGGATAGCAAATATATACTCATTTTCCAGCTAGCTCCAGTTTCTAAATACTCACTTCCTCCATATACAAACTCTGAACTGTTCAAGAAGTCAAGGAGGCTGCTCATCCCTTGAGTAGTAGGCTATATAAACTAATTCAGCATAATCTGTCCATTGTTAACAAAATGGAAAGATTCAATATTCCATGGCCTTGGATAATAGTGGATTTGTTTGCACATCTTTGTTATTGTTATATAGCAATGGTTGTTTAGTTTCAGGCCAAGAGTCGATAGACAGCAACTTCTTCGCTTCACAGAATAAGGCCACAGATATCGATATTCAAACCCCCTTCCCGATATTCAAACCCCCTTCCCAAACACTAAAGCCTCTTTAGAAGCCTTAGGGTGATGAATATGAAAACAAAAACATGCAACTTCACTTTCTGAGCAGTGACAAAAAGTATGATGGTACAGCTGGTATCTACTATCTAGGCAGAGGGTTCTACGAAATTTCCCAACAATGATGAGTTCACCTCAAAAGTTGACATCATAAAGACATAAACACAACTCATATAAGGCATCAAAATTTGCGGTTATAGGGAAATGCTTCATTTTAACCTTTTTACAGTAGCAAGATAATGTTAAAAAAATCACTAATCAAAATGTAAAAGCCAGAAGAAGTTATAATCTTTTTTTATTTGTAAGGATGATTTGTAGAGCGCTTAATTAATTACTTCATAATAAACTTCAGTTGGCATTGAAGTTGACATATTTACATAATACTGTGTTGACATAATACAGTGTTACCAAATAACGTTTGTCTTACCCAGCGGATTTCCTCAGGTTTGTATGCATCCCTCCATTTCAGTGTCTCTTCTACCATTTTCTTTGCCTTATCAACGTTCCAGTTCCTTGCTTCCAGGTATCTCCTAAGGCAAGCATCAGTACAAAATTTTGCATTACGTCCAGATAGCGGTCCAAGAGCCACCTTGAGTTCTTTGACCTGGTTGATAAACATAAAATCCATTGATTGTTCATAAGTTTAGTGCGACTACAGAAAAACCAAATTGTGATCATTGTGTAAGAACAGAACAGTAAGATGTTTAACTACCTATGAAAATATGTCATTTTCAATTACATTTATCGACATTCTACTATCTTCAAACACTTCCAACATAAGACAATGGATCATAAATTAGCAAATCAATTAGAAAATTGCACTTCCAGTTTAATATAGTCAATATACTAATTTAAACATCAGAAATTTATGCAATTTCACAAAATTCCACCATAAATTTAAAAGAATATCACCTTTGCATCACGCTGTATGGGATCATTTCCATCATGGTGCTGAGAACTCTTAAACAAAAACATTATAGATCTGAAAAATTTTCAACCTACAAGCAGAAAATAAAGGTATGATTATTATCAGAATACAGAGTTTCGCGTCTGAATACTTGAACTCGAATCATAGCTTGAAAACACTACCTCCCTCTCACAATAAGTCAATAAAGTACCACATTTAACTTCAAAAGTCAAGTTCAATTAACTTTGACCATTAATTTAGTCAAAATTATACAGCATAGAATTAAATTGTGAATCTAGATTTCTTAGATTGAACTTAACAATTAAATTCCTGTATACAATAGACTAAAATGGCACTACTAGTAAAATTGAAAGGTCAGAGTTGACTAAGATGGTTAGCTTAAATCTATAATTTATCTAATTTTAAAGCATAATCTCCCAAATAATCTTCAATTCACAATGCATATAATTCAAATTAGTAGGAGAAGCCACACTATCAAGCAAGTCAGATTTTTTTTTTAATTATTATATTTTTATTTTTATTTTTCAATTAATGTGTCATTATCAGCAAAATCAGCTACTAACAACCCCACTACTAATTAAACTAATAATAGAAAATTTAAATTGATAGTGATGTAGTCATAAAAAGAGAAACAGTCCAACACTAAAAGTCCAACAATTTACAATCATACATTTAATAATTAATTATGATTAAAATAAACAAAATTCAGGAAAAATGTAGAAACATCGAAATTTGGAGTTTAATCTTCCCTATTATGTCAAATTAAAATGATAATCATCGAGAAACAAACAGAATTGTACGGAAAAAGTTGAATTCATGCAATATTAACCAGGAAAAATGGCAAATTTCAAATAAACGAAAATTAACAGATCTAGAATTGAACTAATTCATACAAAATACAAAGAATTAGAACTGGATTAGAATAAAAAGGTAGAGGAGCGTACCTAAAATGCCTGGGAAAATGGAGGAGAGAGAAAGAGAGGAAGGTAAGAGTTATGAAATGGAGTACGTCAACTTCACGCAGAGTTCAAATAGAAATTTGTCAAAATTCGTGAGGAGAGAGAAAGAGGAAGAACGTGGAAGTGGAGAAAGGAAAGGAATTTGCTTATACAAGTATTAATGTTAAGAGATTCCGATTTAATGTGAATCAGGCATTCAGGCCACCCACGAGACACATCACTCGTTTTCACCCATTTTTTAATTAAGTATTATTTTATGGTCATGCAACTCATGCTCACTCTTGTCGACATGGTATTACGAAATACTCCCTCCATTTTGAAATATGAGAGTTTTTTTTTTTTTTTTTTTCGTTTTCACCCGGTTTTAATTAAATCAGGTGAATAAAACACACTCTAATAATATTTGATTGATCTTATTTAATAAGAATAATAAGTTTAAACAACATAAATTTATGGAAAATAGGTTCTGATAAGAGTAATAGGGTTTTTTTTTTTAAGTTCAATCTATATTTTTAACCTTAAAAGTTTTAATATGTAAATTAAGTTTTTATTATTGAATAATCCATAATAAATCTTGATAAATTTAGATAGTTAAAAATAAGATGAACATAGCACATTTCCATGCCACTCATATCTCCCTCTAAAAGAGAAAATGTGTCAATTATTTTGAAACAACAAAAACGAGTAAAATAGAAAAATTTATCAATTATTTTAAAACGACAAAAAATTATAACTTTCAAAATCTCTATCTCCGATAGCCTTGGCAATTGCAAGATTTGCAACAAATTTTGTCATTGCTATCTCGAAAACTTTTAACATTATTCTCATGAGCCACTGCCATAATTGCTTCTATGGATCTGTTCTCATAGATTGAACTGAACTGATCTGAAAATAAACGTATGTCAACAAACTCATAATAGTAATCCGAAATCATATTTTCAGAAATCACATACCCATAATCTCTAATTGAGTACTTACTAATTTAATGGTCCTGTGAAACATAATCTATCTTTAATAATCTTTGAAAGCCTAATAAATTAGCATATAGCACATTAACAACTTATACTAAAAAGCAAATCTGGTATATATGTAATACCAGCTGTTTGGGTACTAAAATGGTCATACCCATTTTAGTCTTGGGTAACTCTACCCATATAAGCCCAAAGGGCATAAAAAAGGTATAAAAGGCCCCAAATAAGTCAAATACATCAATATGGCCTTCAACGGCCCACATATGTAATTTTAGGGCTCATAAACCCACTTATGTACTCATATAAATACCCCTCAAAGGGCATAAGGTAAAAAGGAGGTCACTCTTATCATCTAAGATGACCATAATCCTCCACTCTCTCCCCTAAACTCCTCTCAAAATATGCATTGTTTGGCAACTAACTTGGGCGTCGGAGGCTCCGCCCCGGGTTCAACCCCCGGGGCTCGGGGTTCATTTTGCAGGTCCATTCAAGGCCCAAATTCGAGGTTCTCAGACACCCCTCCAAGGCCCGGTTAGCTCATTTTTTGCCGAAACAATTTGGCGCCGTCTGTGGGGAGACGAGTACTACTACCCATGAAAATCCACTAATTCATGGCTACTGTGTTCTATCACGAAAAAGGGTCAAAATTTCTAGCAAATTTAACCCAAAATTATTACTCCTGTCAAAAGGGGTAATCATTCTTGCAAATGGTGGAGATGATAGATAAACATTTTGATTTGTCGCCAATCTAACCACTACTAACAAGGTACTTCGTGCCTTTACAAAAAAATTGGGAAATATTCCATGAATATGGTCAAACCTTAATTATTCTTGAAGAAGAATAAAAGCTAGATCTACGTGGCTCTAATGGAAAGCTCACAAAAGCAAGCCTTTCATTCACACCACCAAGTTGAAGAGGCAGCAGGTGGCATGAAACATACATAAAAATCAATCAAGTTTATGTAGATTCAATGCTTGCCGAAGGAAATTGCCATTGTCTTCATCACAAGCTTCAAGGCTCACAACTCCACCACTAGAACGACTCACCATTTCATCCTAGGCAACACATGCCGAGGTCAATGGGGGTCAAGGCTAGTATTGTGAAGTGAGCCAAATCTCTTCACATCACATCTAAAGTAGCAGCCGAAGAAGATCCGAGGTTGTCTACCATTGTTGAAGCTTAAAAAAGCTCAAACTATCACCAATCTAAAAATCCGAAGCAAATAGCTCGGATAAGCAAAAGGAATCCGAAGCTCATCGAGCCGAGGCTATCCGAAGGTGTTTCAGCCCAAGCCGAAGGTGTTCTGGGCAAGCCAGCCGAGCCGAGACCGGTGTTTCAGCCAAGCCTAAGGCTTTTCAGCCGAGACCGAAGGAGTTTCAGCCCAAGCCGAAGGCGTTCTGGGCGAGTCGAAGGTGATTCAGCAGAAACCAAGGGTGGTACAGTTTACCGCTCCCAAGTTAAGGTCGGTAACCATTGCCGAGCCGAAGCTCACCTCTTATCTCCTGGCCGAGGCTAGCCATAGCCGAAGCCGAGCCCAGCAGAGGTTTACCTTCGCCGAGATTCGGGCTCCCAGCCGAAGCTCACAACCATATGAGCCGAGGGTGCTGCCGAAGATGGTTTGTCTGAACCGAAGAAGGTTCATCCAAGCCGAAGCTCATACGAGCTAATGCTAGAGCAACCAAAGCAATTAGCTTCGGCAGTCAAGTGCAATTGGCTCAAATTGTACCCGACCTCAACCTACATCAAATCTGATGATAACAAGTCAGAAGAAAAATTTACCTTTTGACCATTTTCAAAGAGCTATAAGCCATAAAAAAAAAACTACCTTTGTCAGGGTAGATGGCCAGAAGCTTTCTTACCTGCGGCTACTACTTTTATCAAGTAAATGGCTTCGGGCCCACTTTCATCAAAGGCCATCTATCAAATTGCTTCAGCAAAGAAAAATGGCTCTTAATTTTTCGAGTCAATATTTTCCTCAAAAAAAAAAAAAAAAAAATATCATCAACTATCCTCACGATGACGATGATAAAATTAATCATCAATCTTCCTCACGATGATGATGATTAAAAAAAAAAAAAAAAAAAACAACTCTTTCTATCTTCGGATCAAGAGTAAAACTCTTTCTATCCCCGGATCAAGAGTAATAAACTCTTTCTATCCCCGGATCAAGAGTAAACTCTTTCTGTTCTCGGATCAAGAGTAATAAATTCTTTTTATCCTCGGATCAAGAGTAAACTCTTTCTATCCCCGGATCAAGAGTAATCAACTCTTTCTATCCTCGGATCAAGGGTCAACTCTTTCTATCTTCGGATCAAGAGTAAACTCTTTCTATCCACGGATCAAGAGTAATAAACTCTTTCTATCCTCGGATTAAGGGTAAACTATTTTTATCCTAGGATCAAGAGTAACCTCTTTCTATCCCCGGATCAAGAGTAATAAACTCTTTCTATCCTCGGATTAAGGGTAAACTCTTTCTATCCTCGGATCAAGAGTAATAAACTCTTTCTATCCCCGGATCAAGAGTAATAAACTCTTTCTATCCTCGGATTAAGGGTAAACTCTTTCTATCCTCGGATCAAGAGTAATAAACTCTTTCTATCCTCGGATTAAGGGTAAACTCTTTTTATCCTCGGATCAAGAGTAATAAACTCTTTCTATCCCCGGATCAAGAGTAATAAACTCTTTCTATCCTCGGATTAAGGGTAAACTCTTTCTATCCTCGGATCAAGAGTAATAAACTCTTTTTATCCTCGGATCAAGAGTAACCTCTTTCTATCCCCGGATCAAGAGTAATAAACTATTTCTATCCTCGGATTAAGGGTAAACTCTTTCTATCCTCGGATCAAGAGTAATAAACTCTTTCTATCCTCGGATCAAGAGTAATAAACTCTTTCTATCCTCGGATTAAGGGTAAACTCTTTCTATCCTCGGATCAAAAGTAATAAACTCTTTCTATCCTCGGATCAAGAGTAACCTCTTTCTATCCCCGGATCAAGAGTAATAAACTCTTTCTATCCTCGGATTAAGGGTAAACTCTTTTTATCCTTGGATCAAGAGTAATAAACTCTTTCTATCCTCGGATCAAGAGTAATAAACTCTTTCTATCCTCGGATCAAGAGTATTAAACTCTTTCTATCCTCGGATCAAGAGTAATTAACTCTTACAATCCTCGGATCAAGAGTGTTGCCTCAGATAAACTCTTTCATTCCTCGGATCAAGAGTAATTAGCTCTTTCAATCCTTGGATCAAGAGTGTTGCCTCAGATAAACTCTTTCAGTCCTCGGATCAAGAGTAATTAGCTCTTTCAATCCTTGGATCAAGAGTGTTGCCTCAGATAAACTCTTTCAGTCCTCGGATCAAGAGTAATTAACTCTTTCAATCCTTGGATCAAGAGTGTTGCCTCGGATGAACTCTTTCAGTCCTCGGATCAAGAGTAATTAGCTCTTTCAATCCTTGGATCAAGAGTGTTGCCTCGGATGAACTCTTTCAGTCCTCGGATCAAGAGTAATTAGCTCTTTCAATCCTTGGATCAAGAGTGTTGCCTCGGATGAACTCTTTCAGTCCTCGGATCAAACCTTGGATCAAGAGTGTTGCCTCGGATAAACTCTTTCAGTCCTCGGATCAAGAGTAATTAACTCTTTCAATCCTTGGATCAAGAGTGTTGTCTCGGATGAACTCTTTCAGTCCTCGGATCAAGAGTAATTAGCTCTTTCAATCCTTGGATCAAGAGTGTTGCCTCAGATAAACTCTTTCAGTCCTCGGATCAAACCTTGGATCAAGAGTGTTGCCTCGGATGAACTCTTTCAGTCCTCGGATCAAGAATAATTAACTCTTTCAATCCTTGGATCAAGAGTGTTGCCTCAGATGAACACTTTCAGTCCTCGGATCAAGAGTAATTAACTCTTTCAATCCTTGGATCAAGAGTGTGTTGCCTCGGATGAACTCTTTCAGTCCTCGGATCAAACCTTGGATCAAGAGTGTTGCCTCGGATGAACTCTTTCAGTCCTCGGATCAAACCTTGGATCAAGAGTGTTGCCTCGGATGAAGTCTTTCAATCCTCGGATCAAGAGTAATTAACTCTTTCAATCCTTGCATCAAGAGTGTTGCCTCGGATGAACACTTTCAGTCCTCGGATCAAGAGTAATAACTCTTACAATCCTCGGATCAAGAGTGTTGCCTTGCATAAACCTGAACAAATAAAGTCCTTCGACTCAATTTCTATGAACGAATTATTTGGGAAATTGAAACAAAACCCAACTCATTTTTTCAAATAGAATTGGGTCTCGGGGGCTAATTGTTTGGGTACTAAAATGGTCATACCCATTTTAGTCTTGGGTAACTCTACCCATATAAGCCCAAAGGGCATAAAAAAGGTATAAAAGGCCCCAAATAAGTCAAATACATCAATATGGCCTTCAACGGCCCACATATGTAATTTTAGGGCTCATAAACCCACTTATATACTCATATAAATACCCCTCAAAGGGCATAAGGTAAAAAGGAGGTCACTCTTATCATCTAAGATGACCATACTCCTCCACTCTCTCCCATAAACTCCTCTCAAAATATGCATTGTTTGGCAACTAACTTGGGCGTCGGAGGCTCCGCCCCGGGTTCAACTCCCGGGGCTCGGGGTTCATTTTGCAGGTCCATTCAAGGCCCAAATTCGAGGTTCTCAGACACCCCTCCAAGGCCCGGTTAGCTTATTTTTTGCCGAAACACCAGCTATATATGTATATAGAGCAAAAGGTTGTAGAAAGTTGGGCAAAAATGCACAATAATGTGGAATAGCTTTATGGGTATATGCATGAGCTTTTTCTCGCTTGAAGCCAATATGGTAGCTGTATTAGATTTGTGGAAGGGAAAGCGTACATGCATGGCAGCAACTTTTAAAGGAGTTATTTTTTTTTTGGTGTTTAGAGAGCCACAAGGGCAGGGGTGAGAATCGATCCCATGATTTCCTGGAATCGGGAAGGAAGCTCTAACTACTTGAGCTATCTTTCACTCTCAACTTTTAAAGGAGTTATTGAGTTAATGGGATCAACTTTTATTTGCAATTGCAATTAATATATTCTCCGTGTATTGAAGCGTATTCATCAAGTAGCTTTCGGTTAATATTAATAATACCCAAGACTAATGTAGTTTTCATCATATATAAAAAGTTAATTAAATTAAAATAAAATAATTCAAAGTTTAAGCATACAACAAAGCTTGCATTGAAAATAACTTTCTTCCTCATGGAATTGGATGTTTCTTGTAAGGTGGAGTGGACCACAACTACATTTGTTACTTCGAAGAAGCCCATCAAAATAATTTGCATCAAGTCTTCAAGGTGGGTGAACAACTTAATATAGTACCTTCAAATGATGCAAAGCCCAATTGAATTACACCCACATATATAAAATTCACTTTTCCATTGATCTTGTATTCTTTATTCCTTTGTGTGGAATGTGGATGTGAGAAATGTGAATTATTGAAAAAAAAAAAAAATCCTTTTCTTAACATGATTTATTTGTAGCTAACATAGTAATAAGTGTTCAATGAGATTTAGTGTTCAAATCTCTCTGTATACATTTTAAATTAACCATGACATGAATCAAATATTGTCGAAAATGATATGGCGTGATACAAGTGTCAGAATAGGGTACATGTGGCATATCAATTGAGAATGGAGTACATGATGTATCACATCGACATTCTAAGGAGCATTTTCCTCATCAAGTATGGGTGTCGGATGGATACTAGGTAACAAGGCATAATAGTGGCCAAAGCAACACATCTCCCTTTGACAATAAAACAATAATGGATCATTTGGAGGGGCAAATGAGCTCAAAATGGGCTCAAATTTTAGGGTCAATCATATTTTGGGCCAAGGTACACCATGCCACCATGGTGGTATCGATTTTCCAAGATGAGATCCAAATTTCCAAGATGAGATCCAAAATACAACTTTAGGCAGCATTGAGTTTGAATCCAAATGAAGGTTCCGGAAAGATTTAGAGTGTGCTTGTGTAGTGCATTTAGAGGAGTTATAAAAAGTTCTATGAGGTTAGTATGTAGCACTCTCCATTGAGGAGGTTAAGAACGCTCTAGAACTAAGAGTTAGGAGATTTATGCCTATAAATAGACAATCACATTCATTTGTACATTTGAAAATCCTCAATAAGTTAAACCATTAATAAAAAGACCTTATAATTTTTACGCACAAACACCGTATTTCATTATTGTTTTTCAACTTCAAATTATGTAATATGATTTTTTTAATCATTATCACTAACATGTTTTAAATTAAATCCGATTATGTTATATAATAATCCTATATAATTAAAGAAAACTTCACTTCATTTTCCATACCACTAGGCAATAGATTAAAATAAAAAATAAAAAAAAACTTACATTTTCGTTTATATATGTCTACTACAACTGGTTTGAAAGGATTATTTTTTGTAAAGCTCTCAACAAATAAATAAACTCAAACTTTGGAGAGTAAATCCACTAACGAAATTTTTTGCCTAAAAATTATAAATGGTAATGCTTCTAAAATTTTTTGTGTTTTTGTGCCAGTGTTTTTTTAAAAATATTTTAAATAACAATTGTTCTCAAAAATAGTTGTATACGTTGACAAAATTCCCAAAATAATTTTCGTGTTTGAACCCTTTAATATACACACACAAAAAAAATCATTTGAAAAAGTAATTTGTTTGTTTAAACCCATTATAAATTGCGCTATTTGAAGTTAGTATTTTGCAAATTTCAGTCATTTTAAAAAAAATTGTAAATTGCAGCTCAAAAGTAGTTATAAATTGTAAATTACAACCTAATTCAATCTTTTCATTGGTTTACGTGTCGAAAAATTTTCGATTAAGCTTTTAGCGGTCATTATAGACCATGATGATCCAAAGTGAGCTCGGAATCGGCAAACAATTAATGTAAGTGCCTCAAAATTGGCACTAATGTTATTTTTTTTGGTAATTCTGAGCTCAATTTGGATTCTTAAGTTAAAAAAAATGGCCTCTAAAACCTTAACCGTATATTTTTCAACACGCAAAGCGATGAAAAAGTTGAATTGAGTTGCAATTTACAATTTATAAGAACTTTTTAATGGTTGCAATTTACAAAATACAAACTTTAAATGACTGCAATTGACATATTTTTGTTTAACTTTATACCATGTTTTACAATTTCCTTTCATTTCTTTAAACTCTATTAAAAAAATTTATCATTTCTTTTTCTGTTTAATATTTTTCACGTGTAATCTTTTTCACATTATAATTGCCCATTTGCACAATATAATACTATCTCCGTTACATATTAGTTGCAATTTTGAAATATTTTATGTGTTAAAATAATACCTCAAAGTTGCAATTAATTTTTGACGAAAGTAGTAATAACAATAAATAAATTCTTATAAAGCTTCACGTGTCATCCAGTGATAGAAATATTTTTTCTTTTATTTTTTTTATTATTTTTTTTAATAAAAAAGCGAATAAAAAGTAGGAATGAAAAAATACAATAATTAGAACGTGTTAAAGGAAAGGAACCAACAAAAGTTACTCCCCAAGTGTTTTAACAATTATACTTGAATAACCTCCCAAAATGTTTTAACAATTATATACTTGTATTATGGAGAATTCACTTTGATTTTTTTTTGGTATTTGATAGTGATGTCTAATGTTACAGATGTATGCCAAAAAGGTCATAATACAAGCTTAGGGATTACTATTGAATTATACTTGTATTATGGAGAATTTACTTTGATTTTTTTGGTATTTGATAGCGATGTCTAATGTTACAGAATAATGACAAAAAGTCATAAAACAAGCTAAGGGATTACTATTGCTATGTAGAGCATCATTTATGAAATTATTAATCTGTTACTAAAAAAAAAAATTAAAACAACTTTTAAATGAATGGAATTACAAAAGGTTGTCATCTAACAACCTAACATTTAGGCAAGCAATTCTATGATTTAATTATCTTATGCCACCATTCATAATCATAATGCATGTTTGTAATGAAAGCATAACAATGCAATTGGTAAACTCTTATTGAATCTTAATGATGTATAGTATCTGAGTTTAGTTTGAGTATACTATAATTTTGACAAACTAACAATTATTAAATTAAATATTACTTTACTTAAAGAGTTGAATTACATACAATTATACAAAACAATGAAGATTATTAAAATTTTAGAACTTTATAAGCACGTTCACAAATGTATTAATATTCAATTTCTTATTTATCAGATCTCTATATTATAAACTTAACCAATCAAGACATCAGATCTCCCCCTTATTATTACTCGATTCATTACATACACATGATTGAATATCCATCCACAAAAATTAAAGGGTAATTAAGAAGTAATTATATACGGAGTATTTAATTACTTCTTAGGGGCAAGCCTATCTCTAATCTTTTGAACTTGCTTGGAACCAACTTGGAAAGCCGTTGTTAAAACATGATCTGGGACAGGTGGGGTCGAGGTAAACAACGTGGCGGCTACTGATTGGGTGCCAGGCAATTGACTGTTGAAGGCAGTTACTACTGCAGCTGGTTTTTTACCATTATTTTGTTGAAAATGGATTAACCCTCTTGGAAACACAAAGGTTTCACCAACGTTAAGGTGTTTAGAAATGAGCTTATTTGAAGTAGTTATGAAACCAACGTCTAATTCTCCGTACAAGACGAATATCATTTCCGTGGCCCTTGGGTGGGTGTGGGGTGGGTTAAGACCACCAGGGGCGAAGTCGATACGGCCCATGGATACTCCAAGTGTGTTAAGTCCCGGTATCTTCTCGACGTTGGCTCCAGTTACTAGAGATCCCATGGTGTTGTTTGTCATACCGGGTTTGGCTATTCCAGCAAAGAAGAAGTCTTCTCCTGTTATGTTTGCTGCTGCCTTGCATGCAAATCCATTCACCTTCACCCCTGAAATTTTGTAATTCAAATTGCTAAGTACACAAAATTAGTGTAATGCAACAACCTTGGAAGTTGATATTTAGTGTATGTTTTAGTATGATGCAAAAATTGGTGCTTGCTATCAATAATTTATCACAAAATAATAGGCCAACCCTAATTTTTGTTGATGAAAAACGCGACAAACAAAGTACACTAGTAGAGATGCTGATGAGGCATTAAAATACCAAAATATAAATACGTCTATAAATTGAAGTTTAATAATCTATTCATAAAACACACCCTTGAGCATACATCATACATAAATGACCCTATTTTTTTTAAGTCTTTCCAAGATGACGTTAAAAAAACTTTCAAATGATTAAAATATGAATAGAGTAGTGGGTATGATGGACATATATGGTGGGCCGACAATTAATTATTGATTTGGGCTAAAAAGAAAAGCCTAAGGAACAAAAGAAGGTTGAATAGTTGGAGTTGCTTAGTCCATACTGTATGGAAAATGGAGTATCTGCTGTATGTCCAATTGGAAAGTGCTTCATTCTTTGGAGAATGGTAGGGCTGGCGGTTAAATCATGACTTTTTTGGGTGCACCATCGGTGATTGATGCATCACCAATTCCTCACCTTTTCTTGTTCTCTAGTCAATCAATGATCTGTGGTTTCATAATTATGGCATTTAGTGGATCATATGCTAGATTGCTAGCAAGTTAATTAATAATAGTCTGTTGGGGTAGTTTAAGATACGAGATCAAATTTCGTTTATATCATCACCACTCACTTATTACTTAAGCATAAGGCCAAAGTTTAACTACTTAAGTTCATTTAACAAAAAAGAAAAGGGTTCATGTTCAAACCCCTACATTAACTGTAGTATTTATGTATTAACTTAAATATGTTCTTTGATTGTAAGCATAATGGTAGGATCTACGAAGTAATTTACAGATGTACTCTTATATCGAGTAGAGAATAGCACTACTATTTCTTGAATAAAACAATAATGGGCTAATCAGCTAGGACTGACTTCAAATACTTCAACCCACAACTTCAATGTTGTACAGATATACCTTATAGTAATTGACTAAATGCAGTAATTTAAACGATTTATACATTGAAATCACAAAATAAAAACCAATGTATTCACCTCGTAATTATTATTATTTTTTTAAAAAAAAAAAAAAAATCATTGCATTAAGCTATATATGATGGTGTAAATCGTATTAATATCGAGTTGCATTGCTTATAAAATTATAATTTAAGTACGAAATAAGCGCGATCGGATAAAACCGAAAACAAGGGAGAGAGAGTACATACCAGAGGTGGAATCAGCAACACAAACATCTTGGAGCATATCAGGATCATTAGCAAATGCAGGGGTAGACACTGCCAACAACACCACTAGAAAACCAGCAACTATTTTGACAGCCATTATATTATTGATAACACTAATGGCTGTTTAGATCTGATAATTAACTCAGCTAAGTTTAACTTAATGACAATTAGTCGAATGTTTCAAGAAAGAAATTAAAGAGATGTACTTGGAATGGTAAACTAAGGCTGAAGGGGTTTTCTTAAATAGTGACTATAGATGAATTGAAAATATGTGGTGGGTAGGAAGATTGATTAATGATTTGTCAACCGCAAGAGAGGGCAATTAAGGCATGGGATAGGCCACATGCCTTCATCTATCTATTACATACTTGAAGTACTTTTTAATTGTTTCAACGTAAAGCAAAGGAGAATTATATGATATTGACTTTAGCATCTCAAACTTTCATTTTTTTTTTTTTGTTGGATGAGATGATAATTTATTAAATTATTAAATGGAGCTTTAAATAGTTATGGTTGTTTTTGTCCTTTGTCATGACATATCACATATGTGGTTAAATAGTTAGCCTCTGTTTACTTGATTTAATGACCTCTATTGACTCAACCGAGCAATATAATTAGTAGCTGGGTTTATTGTTTATAATATATTGTTAATCGTAATAAGTAAAAATATAATGTATAGACAACATCCAATAATAATAATGTAAAGACTAAAAATATTTTAAGTACAATTAATTAGTTTTAAAACACGTTTTAATCTTTGGTTGGTATTTCCTTTTCTTGGATTAGTATTGTAAATAATTAAGGCTAGTTAAAATGTAGCCAACTCTGGAAATAACTGGAAAAGAGTCATGGTCAGTTTCAGTACATATCATCGATTGGTAATGTGCCATGGATCATGCACGTAGAGCTGAAGAATATAGTAGTGGTAACAAGTGTTGATGTTAGGAAGAAGATATTCATTCCATTCTCATTTAATATGGATTTGAGATTTATTATATTTATTCTAGAAATGGATAAAGATTGCCGCTTGACCCGGTTCGTGCGGTAGAGCTCTTGAAAGCTCCATGTTAGCTTATGCTTTTCCCTACGTTTGTAATGTCTTATGCTTTGAGATTGAGCTAATCGATCCGTTTCATACCATTATTCATCAAGATAATGCATAATAATGTACGTGATTATGATGATGTATTTCCACAACATATTATGTAATTATAAGGATTGGAGAACAAAATTAACAATACAAATTACAATAACAGCATAATCTTGAGGGACATTGATTCGTGGAGTTTGTATCTTTTAATTGTTGCAATTACAAAAACAAATTACTTAGATAAGATTTCCAAATGGTTCGGATGCTAAATTAATAAGTTGTAAATGCTAGTAGTTCAATATATACAAAGTATTTGCAACTTCAACTTCAATAATAAGGACCAAAGAAGAACACCATACCATAAATAAATATAGTTCTTACATATCATTTACTTGAATATACTTGTATGCAGTATCACATATGTACAATGTTTTAATTGAAACTGATGACATATAATTTGTTATACAAATTCATCAATTTATAACAACCCTAGCCTAATATTACATTTAAACTCAGTTTTACAATAACTTTAGCTCTACCACAGCTTGTTAGACTTTAATTTTTCAGGCAATGAAAGTTTTTCATTAAGCTCATTTATTTTCTTTTTAGTGCATTCCAAACTAGTCATGTCGGATAATGCTTTAACTTCATAGGAATAAATGTCATTTTCGAGCTCCAATATCTTTTGTAATTTCATCCCCATGTTTTGTTGAAATCTTTCAGATTCAAAAAGTTGTTTCTTAAACCGCACTTCTTGCTTTCTCGATCCTTCTAAGATAGCTTTGACGAACAAACCCTCAGCTCTAATAAACTGAAGTTGTTTCTCAAGATCCAAAACCTTTTGCAATTCGGAATCCATATCTTTATGAAAAATTTCACAACTTTGCATTTGTTCTTTAAGCCTATTTTCCTCCTTTTTTAACGCTTCAAATTCACCCTTTGTTATTGTTTCGGGTGAAAACAATGGGACCTTGCCGAAGGTCCAATGAAGTGGATGAAGACTAATCCAGTCCAAATGATGTTGGGCCAAAGGTTTCTTGCACAGCAAACACACGTAAACTGGCCTCGGGGGTGGATTCGAGGAAGACCCCTCCGATGCCGAAGTCAAACAGTGTTTAGAGAGAGAAAGCTATGCAAGAGATTTAATGCTTGAGGCTTTTAATGTGAATGAATCATAAATGGTGAGATTGAAGGCTTTTATACCTTAGCATGACAAAAAGAGGAGGATGACTGGGCCGGAAGTAGTCATGGGCTGACCATGACAATTTGGGCCGCTGACTTTATGCTGACTTGGCTTAATGGAGGCTTGGGCCTTGACCTTGGAATATAGAATCATTTAATGACTAGGCCTAATTGGCTTAACTGGACCCAAATAACTTGCCCCCCAGACCCGATTCGGAAGGATGACGGGTTGGGTTTGAATCCAATAAAAATGGAGGGAAGTAAATGATTTAATTAAATCAAAAGATTTAAATTTTAAACAGTCATTAACTAAATAACCGTAATTAGGATAATTAGTGGGGAAGTTGAGTGGATAATGGGCGGTTAATTAAGGGAGAGAGTGTTTAACGGTTACTTAAGGAGGTTTTTAAGAGAAATTAAGCATTTCGACTTTCGAAATTCCCATTTTCTGGAAATATAAAACCAAATTCGCCATTTCTCTCCTCATTTCTTCACCAATTCACTTTCGAACTCTCTAAAAGACCATTGTTTTCGCTTCGAAACTTCACTCCACACCCGAAATCAAAGCTTGACGTTTAACCCATTGCTCCGACCCATTGAATCGGCGAGTTTCGATTCTCATAAAGGTAATTTTCTTCGAATTTCCCTTGATTTTCTTAGTTTTTCCAAAGAATTCTTCTTTTACCAACTTCCTTTCTCGCGAATTCATCAATGGCTTGCTTAAAAGGTCGACGGACTGGAAGACGAGGTCAGGTCAGGGACCCCAGGGACCGTGCCGACGTTTGGAATGGGGAACGCGTCCAGGAAGACCCAAAAAGGGGGATTTTGGCCGTCCCATTGAACGCCGCAGCCCCTCAGCAAGGTGCCGAGGCTGAGGTTGCAGAACAGGAGGAATATCTGCCTCCTGTGCTTTGGGATTTGCTACCTGGGCATGTTGAATGGCAAAATGCCGAAGCCCAGAGAGCCATGAGGGACAATTCCCCTTATTATTGGTGGGTTAGGCACGCCGAAGCTTATCGGTTTGCCGAACAGATTGAGTTGCATTATGGCATCCTTGAGGAAGATGGGTATTGGTGCCGAATGCCTTCGCCTACTGACAGAATTCATCGCCCTCCCCCTGGGTATGTGGGGGTATATACTCGGCAACTTCAGTACGGGCTTCGGTTCCCTTGAGATCCCTTCGTTAGGGATATTTTGATAAAGTACAGGATCTCCCTGTGCCAGTTGACACCCGTCACTATTCGGTGGGTGATGACCTATCTATGGGTATGCCGGTTCTTTGCTGTTGAACCGAACTTGCACTGTTTCCGAAGGATGCATCAGCTGGTGCAGAATACCCAAAGTGTATACGGTCACCATGGGGCTGGCTGGTGGCGAATCGAGAGCCATCCACAATACCTGAAAATGTGGCCGAACGACTCTTCGGATAAGGACTGGAGAGGCCAGTGGATCTGGGTAAGGGCTCCTGTTGATCCAGAGCACCCCCACTTTCGGGGCCCCCCGTTATCTCTCCAGGCCCGATCCAAACATGCAAGATTTGGGTCCCGAAGACCCTGATGCCGCTAGCCACCCAAGCTATGAGCAGATGAGCTTCTTCGGGAAGCAGAAAAACCCTGGGGGACTGGCCGAATGAAGTTCATCCCAACCTGGTTATCTCCAAGAGAAGATGCTGGCAGTTGTCGGCCTCAGCCGAAAGCACAGAGGCGGTAAGTACCTTCGGCTGGGGCCGAGGACTTTAGATTGTTATTGCTTCATTTGCTTTGTCTATATCTTAAGGCTAACCTTCAACTTCTCCATTCAGAGTTGAGCAAGGCTACCTCTGAAATCGACTACGATCGGCTAGGAGTAAACGCTGAAAGGGTCATCTTAGACCGAGCTCCAACAATTACTGCTCCGAAGGATCGTTCGCTGCACCTACACTTGACGGGCCTTCAGATCGAGGCTGCTGCAGATTATCTGAAGCAGAAGCCTTGGTGGGAGAAGCAGGATCCTCTGAGGCCCCTGCTAGCCGAAGAAGTACTCGCCGCTCAAGCTGCTGCAGAAGTGACTAGAGCCATCAACTCCCTAGAAATGGGTGAAGGGACCTTTGGTGCTGCCGAGGACTTTGGTAAGGCTTTCAGCACTTGCTTATTTTTTTTTTTTTTTTCCTCGCCCCCCCCACTTTTGCAGTCTGAGGAAGAGGGCAGAAGGAGAGAAGGGAAGGCTCCAATATCGTCAGACGACTTTTCAAAACTCGATTCTTCGGATTCTGACGATATGGACGACCAACCTCTGGAGCAGAGGAAGAGAAGAAGGACGGGCCTAGCTGTTATGGGTCCGGGAGACTTCACGCTGAGGCCGATGCCTGGAGTAGTAATAAGGGAACCTGTTGCTGGCCGAGGCAGGGTTCCAAGAGGTACAGGGGGTCCTCCGCCCCCGACTCAGCCACCACCGCCAATTCCATCACCGCCGAGGACCCCTCCACCACCTCCCACTACTGACATGGAGGAGGACCAGCGGACTCCTGATCCAAAGGAGGGGGTTCCTGAAGCGGTTTCCAACAAGGGGAGTGCTGCTAAGCTCCCCGAGGTTGAAGTTGTTGAGGTAGCCGAAGAGGCGGCTACTGCTGAAGACGAGGCCCCTAGGGGCTTCACTGCTGAGATTCAGCGAGAGGTTGACGCCTTGATAAGTCAACCTCTCGGCGAGGCTGAAGGGGTCCAGGCTGGAGGGGACCGTGCTGAAGGAGGGGCAACGACTGAGCCCGAGAAAGCGGACGAAGTTTCATCAACTTTGTTCCCCTCTTTCAAGTCTTTCCAGTCTGGGGACATGGGGTTCTCAGCCAAGAAGTGTTCCATCCCAGATGGCGTTAGGGCCCAAATATGGGGGAGACACAGGGAAAGTGCTGAGGCTTACTTCGGCGGTTGCTCCGAATTATCTAAAATGGAGCAAATCCGAGAGTGGTCTGTTCGAGCAACTGCTAGAATTGCCGAACCCGGTCCCTCAGTACCAGATCCATCTAGAGACAACCAGAGGATGCTGATGCAGGTATGTAATAAGATTCTGCACCTTCAGCATTTCCAGTTTACTCCACTTGCTTGTAACTTTTATTAACTTAAATTCGATTCTGGTTTTGCAGGTTGTCTAC